TCCCCTCCCAAAATCCCCAAATTTTCTCCCAAAATTCCCCAAATTTTTCTCAAATTCCCCCAAAATCCCCCAGAAAATTTGATTTTCCCTCCCCAAATTTCCCCAAAAAATCCCCAAAATTTCCCCCCCAAACCCCCAATTTTCCCTCAAAATCCCCAATTTTCCCCTCCCAAAATTCCCCAAATTTCCCCTCCCAAAATTCCCCAAATTTTTCTCAAATTCCCCCAAAATCCCCCAGAAAATTTGATTTTCCCTCCCCAAATTTCCCCCCAAAATCCCCAATTTTCCTCCCAAAATCCCCAAATTTCCCCCCCAAAATCCCCAAATTCCCCCCAAATTCCCAAATTTTCCCCAAATTCCCAAATTTTCCCCAAATTCCCGGAATTCCGAATCCCGCAGAGCTGTTCCCGGTGCAGATGGAGGGCGTGAAGCTGACGGTGAACAAAGGGCTCAGCAACCACTTCCAGGTGAGCAATCCCAAATTCACGGGAATTTCGGGAATTTGGGAAATTTTGGGAATTTTTGGGAATTTTTTGGGGACTTTTATGGAATTTTGAACCATTTTTGAAGGATTTTTTTGGGTTTTTTTGGGGATTTTTTTCGGATTTTAATGGAATTATTTTGAATTTTGTTGGAATTATTTTGAATTTTTTATGGAATTATTTGAATTGATTCTTTGGGAATTTGCTTGGGGTTTTGATGGAATTTTACAGAGTTTTGATGGATTTTTATTTTTTGATTTTAGTGGAATTTTTTATGGAATTTTGAACCATTTTTGAAGGATTTTTTGGGGGATTTTAATGGAATTTTGTCGGAATTATTTTGAATTTTGATGGAATTATTTTGAATTTTTTACAGAATTATTTGAATGGATTCTTTGGGAATTTGCTTGGGGTTTTTATGGAATTTTACAGAATTTTGATGGAATTTTTCATAGAATTTTTTGGTACGTTTATGGAATTTTGAACCATTTTTGAAGGATTTTTTGGGGATTTTATGGAATTTTTTTGGATTTTTAAGGGATTTTAATGGAATTATTATGAATTTTTATAGAATTTTTTAAATTCAACTTTATTGATTTTTTTAAAACTTTTATTCCATTTTGAATGGAATTTTTTATGGAATTATTTTGATTTTTTTTGGAATTATATGGAATTTTTATGGAATTTTTTTGGCGTTTTGGGGGAATTTCTTTTGTTTTAATGGAATTTTTAATGGAATTTTTTAATGGAATTACCTGGAATTTTTATGGAATAATTTTGAATTTTAATGGAATTTTTGAGGAATTTTTTGACATTTGGAGGAATTTTTTATGCTTTAATGGAATTTTTTAATGGAATTATTTGGAATTTTTATGGAATTACTTTGAATTTTTATGGAATTTTCATGGAATTTTTTTTGGCAGTTTGGGGGAATTTTTTTTACTTTTCGTGGAATTTTTTTAATGGAATTATTGTGGATTTTCATGGAATTTTTTGGCGTTTTTTTGGGATTTTTTTTTTTTTTTTTGGATTTTTTTTAATGGAACTATTGTGGATTTTCATGGAATTTTTTGGCGTTTTNCTTTTCATGGAATTTTTTTAATGGAACTATTGTGGATTTTCATGGAATTTTTTGGCGTTTTTTGGGGATTTTTTTTACTTTTCATGGAATTTTTTAATGGAACTATTGTGGATTTTAATGGAATTTTTTGGCGTTTTGGGGGATTTCCCCGGAATTTTGGCGGAATTTTTTGGGGTTTTTTCCTGGGAATTTTTTGTGCCTTGTTTTTCCCGGCCGTTCCCGTCGGGAATTTTGGGAATTTTGGGAATTTTGGGCATTTCCTGGTGTTTTTCCCTCCGCAGGTGAATCACACGGTGGCGCTGAGCACCCTGGGCGAGTCCAATTATCACTTCGGGGCCACCTACGTGGGCACCAAGCACCTGAGCCCCACCGAGGTGGGAATTCCGGGAATTCCGGGAATTCCGGGAAAAATCTGGTGAAATTTGGGCAAAATTCGGTGAAAATCCAGAGAAATTTGGGGAAAGTTTGGTGGAAAATTGGGATTTTTTGGGGGGAAATTCCAGGAAAATTTGTGGAATTTTAGGGATTTTGGGAGAATTTGGGAAAAATCCGGTGAAAATTTGATGAAATTTGGGAAAAATTCAGTGAAAATTCAGTGAAATTTGAGCAAAATTCGGTGAAAATCCAGAGAAATTTGGGGAAAGTTTGGTGGAAAATTGGGATTTTTTGGGGGGAAATTCCAGGAAAATTTGTGGAAATTCAGGAATTTTGGGAGAATTTGGGAAAAATTCGGTGAAAATTTGGTGAAATTTGGGAAAAATTCGGTGAAAATTCGGTGAAATTTGATCAAAATTTGGTGGAAAATCGGGAATTTTTGGGGGGAAATTCCAGGAAAATTTGTGGAAATTCAGGAATTTTGGGAGAATTTGGGGGAAATTAAAGGAAATTTGGGAGAATTTTGGGGAAATTTTCAGGAATTTTGGGGTTTTTAGTGTGAAATTCGGGGGGAATTGGGTGAAATCCAAGGGAAATCCAGTGGAAATTTGGGTTTTTTGGGGAAATTTTCAGGAATCTTTTGGGGAATTTTTGGGGGGATTTTTTGGGGGGATTTTGGGAATTTTTAGGGGAGATTTTTGGGAATTTTTTGAGGGGGATTTTGTGATCTGGAGGGGATTTTTTCGGGGAATTATTTTGGGGGAGATTTTGGGATTTTTGGGGGAGATTTTTTGGGAATTTTTTGGGATTTGGGGAGGATCTTTCAGGGAATTTTT